ATTTCCAGCTGAATCCATTTTCTTATGATTATTTTAACTTTTATTATTTTTTTTACCCCAGAGTGATTATCCAGATCATTCTTTGATCACTTAAAGATATAAATATTGGACATTTTTTAAAGTGAAATGTTGTTCTTTTTTTATACTTCATCAAGCAAGTGAAATCAAGTTACTACTTTTCTCTAAATAGCAAGGCATTAACAATAACATTTCAATGCTAGAAAAGCTAAAATTTTTATGATACGTCGTTTCAAATCTTTCTTTTTCTCTTATTGTTTTAGACCTCGTTTGGAAGGCCTGCCGGAGACTGAAGAAGGGACACCACGAAGTAGTTACAACATGGAAGAGAGGAGACATGAGTTCTTGCAACGGTGATTGTCCATATTTTTATTGTTTTCCATTGCAATTACAGGCAGTCAGATTAAAATAACGGCCTCCCACCATGTGTAAAATGAAATGTAATGAAGTAAGGTGAACACAGCAATGAAACAAAAGGGACGGTGGAAGTCAATGAAAGGTTTTTTAAGGTTACCACAGACACCACATTTCTTTTTAAAAACATTTTTTTTTAAAAAGGCAATCAGATTAAAATATATATTTGTTTAATTTTAATTCAGTAATTTTATTCTGCTAAAACAGTGGTTCTCAACCTTCCTAATGCCGCGACCCTTTAATACAGTTTCTCGTGTCGTGGCGACCCCCAGCCACACAATTATGTTCGTTTGCTACTTCATAGCTGTAAGGATATGTGTTTTCAGATGGTCTTAGGCGATTCCTGGAAAAGGGTCCCGCGACCCCCAAAGGGGTCGCGACCCACAGGTTGAGAACCGCTGTGCTAAAAGATAAAACAGATTGGCACTTTTTTTTTTTCAAATTTAAATATCAATAGTAATACTATTGAAAATGAAAAGAAACAACTCATTTTTATGCTCAAGAAGATGAACTACTTTAACATAATGTAACTTAATTGGTTAAATTTTAAATGTCCCTTTCTTCATTAACTTGAAGCACTGAAATTTCAACGTTAAATTAAATTTGTTCATAACCAAGAATATTTGCATTTTTTTAAACACACTTCTTAATAGCGTCAATTCGAACATCTTCTAAAAACTGTTTTGATTCAAATCAGCACACATTTTTTTTAGATTTAGATTCATTGAATTGTTATAAAAAAATATTTGTTCCGATAATATCCACTAATGAAGTGTTTTTTTTAAATAATCCAATAACATCCATTAATGACATATTCTTTCATAGCAATCCAATAACATCCACTAAAGAAGTGTCCATTTGTAACAGTCCAATAACATCCACTGATGAAATGTTCTTTTATAACAATCCAAAAAACATCCACTGAATGAGCTGTTATGTTATAACATTTTTTTCCCCAAAGATCAAATGGATCAAAAGATCTTACTAGTTCATGGGAATCTTTGAAATCACCAACGTCAGGTACAGGTAAGTTTGACACGGTCAGTTTTATTCAGAAGTCGTTGATCAAAAAGAATACCAACTTATGTTTATACAGATAACCGGGAACTGTTTAATAAAATACATTGTTATTTCTAGGTATGATTTACATCAATTGTGCATAAAAGCTGAAATATTGTACAGAATTTTAGTTACCATGTTCGATATCCACAACACGTTTAACAACTATCACAAGTATAATTTAATAATCAACTTAATATGTAAAACTGCCAAAAAACTATATCTTAATTATGAACTCAAATGTTTAACCGACTTGACTGTGAACTCAATATGCTTAATTAAATGCTGTTACTGTACTCCAGGTTTCTGTGCACTGTCTCCAGGCATTCGCCTGATGTTGTCAGACAGCTTTATCTCACCTCAGCTGAGCAATGGAAAGATCAGTGTGTTGGAGTTGTACTTGAGGTCCCCTACAGGCAGACATATGTCAGTTTAGCTTAAGTTAAGTGTATGCTACATCAGTGCTTCTCAAACTTACCGGGAGGATGTACCCTTTAGAAATGCACACACATTTTACTAGAACAGTATCATTAATTATTTTTGTTTTATTCAGTTAGGATTTTTTAAATTTTTAAAACTACAGATGACTTTTTAGGACAGAAAACTTTGAGAAACTCTATAGAAGAATGATTCCCTTTTCTGAATCTTACCAGCCAAGTCTTGTCATTTTTCTAAAATGCTGTTCCAGTGAATTTAAGATTACCCGGTAGTCATGGGGAAAAAATTTAGATGAATACATAAAATTTGACCAATTATATGCTGTAAACTATATGTTTCTGCATTACATTCCCAGAGCTGATGGACTACCTGAAGAGCTGAGGAAGACGCCTTTGGAACTGCTGACTGTTTCTCAAGACAGCCTGGAATCGGACAGTCAAAAGGTTAGACTTGGATTTAAGAATGGTTGGGAGAGTGAGCATTTGCTTTGCCATATAATCATATAGACTTTGGCTATTTCTTTTCTGTGTTATTGGGTGTTTCTTTTTTGGTTATCTCTAGCTATTAACTAATTCTGTATTGTTGGTTGGCTGTGGCTATTAACTATTCTGTATTGTTGGTTATCTCTAGCCATTAACTAATTCTGTATTGTTGGTTGGCTGTGGCTATTAACTATTCTGTATTGTTGGTTACCTCTAGCCTTTTACTAATTCTGTATTTTTGGCTGGCATAATTCGGCTAGTGATTTATTTATTTTTTTGTTAGCCGTAGACAGTAGCTACTTTTGTTTTTTGGTTGACTTGTAATTTATCTTTGAAATGTTTATTACTGCCCCTTAAGCAACCACTTCTTATTTGTTATATTTTTTTTCCTAGTACACTCACTTATTAGAAGCAAGATGGAGATTCTTTCAAATCTTTCTCTTTTTTACACGCCTTTCCAGTTGGATGCCCTTGAAGTTGTCATAGAGACTGGGGAGACCAATCGAGGTAATGTAAAGACAGATGATGACGATAAACTCACAGTTGCTGAACCTGAGTCTGTTGTTTGCCTTGATGCCACCGAAAGTGCAGCATCCCTTTGTCCCAGCTTGACAGATACGGATGAGCTGAGAAGCAAGGTGCAACATCTCAGAAATTTCCTCAAGCAAAGAGGAGATATCAAGATGCCACTGAAAGGACTGGATAAACTGAACTTCAGGAGTGGGATGGGACCCCAGCAGCGGACCAGGCAATCAATTTTGAACGTGTCAGAACTCACAAATTTTAACTTAAAAATTCATGCCGGGAGAGTATCTTTTAGAATGAGACATTTAAAACAGGAATCTAAAACTGGTTCCACAACAAATTTGTTACCCGTGACCTCACATGAAGCTGCATCGTCGGTCAAGAGTTCAAATGTTGATGTTAGAAGCCACGATCTGAGCCACAGCACAGATGTGATAATCTTGACCCGACAAGCTCGATTGATGTTCAAAGAACACTTAGCTGTGGTTGTGTGTGCCACAGTCACATGGCTGCCAATTTTAGTGTACGTGTCATTGGTCAGACCCCTGGACAAGATATATCCAGACACCCTCAAAAACCCTCTACATGCCTTCCTTCATGTGTTGTCATGTTTACGGCCCTGTTTGGTTGGAGCCATCCATTTGTTAGGTAAGGTTTGGTATTTAAGTCCCACCGTGTAAGGGTAAATTTGAGATGGGCCCTTTTTTCTGTGATTAAGTTCTTGATATAAAATCTGGTTCTATTGTGTGGGGACACACTGAGACACAATAACATTGACCCCATGCTGAGACACATGTAACATTGAACACACGCCGAGACAAATGTTAGAAACAATGACCACATGCTCTGAGACATGTTAGTAATATTGACCACACTCTGAGACACATTAGAGACATTGACCACATGCTGAGACACACATTAGAGACATTGAGCACATGCTGAGACACATTAGAGACATTGACCACATACTGAGACACAAGTTAATATTGACCACAAGGCCAGACACACATTAGTAATCTTGGCCATATGCAGAGACAAGTTAATAAAATTGTTCACTTGCTGAGACACAAGTCACTTACATTGACATAAGTTAAATGGGTAAACATGGGGGGTTGGGGGGGGGTGTAAATATGGGGAGGTTGAAGCTAAAAGAAACATACAAAGGGTAGAGAAATACCTTAAAAGGGGCAACACAAGCAATTGCATGTTTTGGGTAAGAAGCCTTCGACAGGAAGAAATAGAGAGTGGTAGATCTATTCAATTACGGAAGTGCCCCATGAAATTAAAGAATTTTCCTATGTGATAAACATGAGATTAACAGGAGACATAAAAGATTGGTGCTCAGAAAGTCTTGAAAGTCAAAACGTTGGGAAATACTGTTATAAATTATAAACAGTTTTATTCTTAGTCCAAGTTTACTACTGTCTCCTGACTTTGACAATCAGTTCATTGCCTCATTGCCTCCTGACTTTGATAATCAATTATTATTTTTCTCTTTAATCAGGGTTTTCTCCTCACCAAGTAAAGCTTTGCTGTGGGCTAAATAAGTACCTTCCAATGTTCTGTTATTAGTCTTAGGAAATGATCATCACAGCACATGGTAGCCTCAGTATGGCATGATAATAGATTTTTATTATAATATTTCTGATAATTTATGTTTTTCCTTAGCCAGAGGATTGATGCACAATGTCAATTTTTTAACTGTAACAAAATATTTTTGAGCATGCAGCAGAAACCAACAAGAAGAAAGATGAACCTTGTGTAAGGTTCAATAATGCCAGTGGCATCATGAGTTTCCTTCAGTTAATAATATTTCCATAGCATTTTTTTTTTTTAAAGTTTGACCATAGCAATCTTATTAATACAACCAAAGGACATCTTTGGTAGTGTCCTTAGAATTAAAATGTCAAAAATGATTCTTTTATGTACAATATGGGAACACCAAATGTATTCTTAATAACTCAATTAAATGTGTATAATCCTTTTTTTTATCATGGGTTGTTGTTTGTGTTACAATTTTTTTATTTTTTTTTTAAGTTTTGTGTTTGAGGGGAAAAAAAACAAAAATAAGATCTGTTAGCGTAATTGTATTATTGAACTACATGTTTTGATGAACAAAAACAATCAGATCATATTTTCACAACATAACTTTTTAAAATTGAAATCGTTTCAACTCTATTAAAATTATAAAAGAATCACAGATTGCTGAAGTTAAAGACCAAAATATTGTGGTCCACAATCAAATATATTACAAAATTGTAAGTTGACTGTGTGTATACTGAACAACTATTTTAAATAGTGGAAATAATGGAAATTAATAAACACTTATATTAAATGTATGACTATTCCTGCATGTTGAAAGACTTTAGAAAAATTCTCTCTGCATTGATTTCACTGTCTCATCACAAAGTCCTGAAGTAGTGTTCTGTGTCAGTGCTTTATCTCTGGACATGAGAAAAACAAGGCTTTTTATTTATCTACAATTCTATTCTTAAAATTCTTATGAGTTCAAGACATACATGGATTATTCAGGAAGCACATGCTGATTAATCACAATATGATAATATTTAAAAGAAAATTGGTGATAGTCCTTTGCAAAAGTTGGTTCAGTTACTTGGAGTCAGAAAACACAATCTCTGTTAGCCTGGAGTTTCCTTATGGTTTAAATGGACCCCATCCAACAGTTTGTGAAGATATTTTTTTTACACAGTGGGGTTTAAAACATGGTGAAAAACTCCAAAGCACAAATTTGTTAACTTCACATTGAGTAAAATGACTTAAAGATTAAGAAAACAACTAAATAAGGCAGTGAAAGTGAAAAGTGATTTCTATTTTCTTTTTTGTTCACAGCAAGCATTTTCTAAATATTTCTTCACGTTAGTAATTATGTTTAATTTTTAGCCTAAATTTAAGTTGAGATTTGGATCTATAAAGGCTATGTAATCTGGGGAATATTCTGGAATATATATTTTATTCACTCCTGGCGCAAAGAAATATACAACTTATATTTTAACTTGGTATATTTCAGAATAAGTAAATCAAAGATTCAACAAACTTTGAAAGATTAAAATACATTATGAGACTAAGCAAAGTTAAAAATTTCAGTTGTTCAGGCTAAGGAGGAACTTACAGAAATTTTCTCTAATTTATGTTAACAATAAACTAGCAGTTAATGCTGTTGTCAAATGTAATAAACAACTAAATTAAATAACAACTGACCTTGGTTTATTTTCTTGACTATCTGATTCATCAGATTCCTGTTGTAAAAACAAAAAATATATTCTTTTATGTGGGATTCCATGAATAAAACTTTTTTTTTTTTTCTCTTGAGGTTCATTGTTTTTAAGAGTATAATAAGCTAGGTACTTGTTTTGTTTGGTCTTCTTTCAGGTTTTACCTTGGGGGGCTATCCATAAATGACATCACGCATCTAATCTAGGGAAGGAGGAGGGTCAAGGATTTGCAAGGACCTATTACAAGTGTGTCTAAATTGTGTGACGGGGAGTCGGGGTCCAAAATAATGAGACATCATTTATGGATGGGCCCACACAGTGTTTCTTATTTCCTTTTGTTTTTAGAGAATCGAGAAGGAAAAAAAATAATAATGAATATTGTACTACACATGTCTTGATTTAAAAAATTCAAGCCTTTTATGAAAAACACATGAGAAAACGGATTGGTAGATATAGTTAATCAGGACAAAAATTAATAATTATAGAGGTAGAGAGTACCGATGTGGGTCTGTTATTAAACTGTTAAGTTAATTGATCATGTTTTTATTTGTTCACAACAAAAATTTTTCATTAATTCCAACCCTGTTCCATATCTTGCTTCATGATTTGAAGCAGCCATTCTCAACATGGGCCAGGCATTGGGTATTTCAAAACTGTAAGGTGGACCATATGTAAATAAATAGAGCTGTTGTTTATTAATAACAGGGAAGGGTTTTTTTTAAGTGGGCCAAAAGCCCATAGGTTAAGAAAGAATCTAAAATATATATTGGTAAACTCACAGAGAAAGTCAGTTGGTCCCAAGGTATCCCCATGTCCATCTGTTTACGTCTTCTGACTGTTGCATCATTTCTTCTCTCATATGTTTCCTCAAATTCACCTGCACTCAATATAATACGTGTTATGTTAGAAAATCAAACATAAATTTTGTTCACAATATTTTAGTTTGGGGTATGGGTCATTCTTAAAGACGTAGCTCCAATATGACCCTGACAATTTTTCAAACGGTTACATCTATAACAAAAATGCAAACTGCAAAATTTTAATTTTAATTTTGAACATGAAAAAGAGTGATATTTAAATATTTTTTAAACAGAAATTTGGAATAGAATTACCCATTTGATTCTTTGATAAAGTTTATTTTTAAATGGAACATAGGCAGATAATTAAAAATAAGCATGCAAACTGCAAAATTTTATTTTTCATTTTGAACAAGAAGAATAGCAATATTTTAATTAATTTTTTTTTTGCTTTTAAACTACAAGAAATTTGGAATACATTTGAAATTTTGACGAAGTTTATTTTTAATTGGAACATAGTTTAATTCCATCCTGATCAAAGAGCCCTAGTGACGGTCAGTGCACCTCAAAGTGAAGAAACTGATCTAGGAAACCAACTGCATTGCTTACTTTCTGTCATTTCTCTCATCGGAACACCCTGAGAAGTCATTTTCTCATGGTTAAACAGATGTGGACCAAGCAGCTTTTTTATCTTGGGAAATCTCTGACCAGCGTTCTGTTTCCTTGTGGCATGTGGTGGTGGGTTATTCCCGCCAGCTGTGTTAACCGTTTGGCTGGTCCTGTATACGACAGAAATAGAAGGAGAAAGTTCAGTTTCATGTCGAGATTGGTACAATGTGCTACAGTACAATGTGTCCTGGGGACAATGTGTCCTGGGGACAATGTGTTTTGAGTTTGCTTTTTTTAAAAATCTTTGTTTCATGTTATGTTATGATTCACATATTTCTAGACATACAATTTAAAAACAAACACACACAAAAAAAAAAAAAAAGTATTAACCTATAAAGAAAATTAGTGCTGGATTCAAATCATAAACATTAACACTGGCATAGGAAAGGGGGGTGGGGGTCAGTCCCCTCATGAACTCTTTTCTAAATATTGAGGGTCTGCATTTTTGCCCAACTGTATAGTTTTTGGTAAGGGAGAGGCGGGACAAATCTGGGCACTAACCATAACTATGCCACTGAATGTACACCAAAGATCTTGGCCCAACCCTAACAACGCCACTGAATGCACACCAAAGATCTTGGCACTAACCCTACCTACCCCACAGAATGTACAACAAAGATCTTGGTAAGTACACTCTGAGATAACAAGATGATTTTAATATTATCTTATAAAAAAAATGTAGCAGAGACATTCTACCACTATTTCATGTAAATTTGAAATTGCTTTAAAGAAACTGAACTAAAAAATTGAACATCACTCAACTTACCTCAATGGAAGACTCATCCCAACACTGCCATGCGATACACCTAAATTTGGAGTTTGTGAAAGGTCACATGACTGAGGATGTGGTATGAGCTTCTCACCAGTTCCTGTTATGATGGTCTCAATGATGTCATCATTGCTCTGGTGTAACTTCTGCACAGACTGGAGATGTCTGTGTAGCCTGGTGACATTGCAGCAGGCATGTGTACATTATGGCAGGTAAGGGAGACAAGTAAGGGCAAGGGAGACAACTGGCACTATAAATCTTTAAAATGAAGTCATTTCAAAATCGTTCAGTTTTACACACAGATAACTTGTAAAGTTAATATATAAAAGAAAATGTTCAAATAATCTGACTGTCACGTTAATGGCTCTCATAATCTCAATAAGGGTGTTCCCTATGACTGAATGTAACTATACAACCTGAAGGTTTGCTGCACACTCAAGAATTTAATAAAGCCTCCCAAACATTTTTTTTTTTATCAAGAGACTTTTCTACAGCCATAATTGAACATGACATATATAAATAAATGCTTTACAATCAATTAGTCTTCTATTAACTTCATAAAATGGGACGAAACTTATCTTAAAATGTAAATAATGTCTGCCCCTTACCAATAATCTGCTTTTTTAAGTTCCAAAATAAAATTCTAAAATTTATCAAACTCTATTCCAACAAGCTGTGGGTCTTTTTTAGATATAGTTAGAATAGCTAGTTTTTTAGACATGGTTCGCAGCCTGAGAAAAGTCTCATAACACAGGGGTTTTTTTGTATAATACCTTTGAACCCTCAAAGCTTCATCTGGTAAATCCTCATTTTCAACATTGACTCGGACCAAGCGTTTGGTGTCGCCGTCGTCGTCATCATCATCTTCATCATCAGATTCATTATCGCTCCAACAATCATCAACATAATTTTTTTGAAGTCTCGCCGAGGCAGACCTTGAGGATGAGTAAATCCTGAGTGAATGACCATATCTACGCTTGCTCGACTGCTCTGATTTCTCTGTGGATCTCGTGGATCTTGTGGATGACGTGGACGCTGTTGTAACGCTGAGATTGTGTTTTCTCCTTACATATCTTGTTTCACTTAAAGATCTCCTGCGTTTACGTCTGCTCCTTCTGGTGTATTCGTAATGCTTACGTCTTGAGACGTCTGCAGACTTCTCTGCTTTGCTTTGAAATGCGTTTCCATTCCACTCATTACGGTTCAGAAACTTTGTATAATTCTGATGGCTGCTGTTTGTAAGTGTGCTGTTTTCTCCTGTCCCAGCTGTGTGACCAGACAAGGTATCAGAGCTGTGGATAATGTCAGGCCTATGTGATGTGTGGGATGAAAAATCCAATTTATCTTGGAATCTCTCAAATTGTGCTGGGTTTGTGGGCTCTTGCTCCTTACACTGGCTCACTAACTGGTAGTATGGTCTTGAAAGCAACTCAGAACTTAATACCTTCTTTTGATTATTTAAAGTGTTGACCTTCTGTAGACCGTTACCACATCTTTGTTCTGGAAGAATAATATTTTTAACATAGATAACTGTTTGTGCATCGGATGTTACAGTAGATGTTGTGTCACTGGCTTCTGCTGTGAGACCTACACAGGATGCTGGTGCAGACACTCCCACTGACACATTTGGATATTTGTCATCTGGATTAAGGACTGATGGTTTGTTTCTTTGATTTGGAATGTCCGAAAGGGTTTGACCGACTTTAGTTCGTGACGGAGTGTATAGGCCATCCCCTTGCACAAGGACATTTTGATATTTACTGCTCGCCTGCTCATTATGACCATTGAGGAGAGGCCCCTCATTTTTCATGGCGGCTGGCTCCATTGATGAATAGCTATGCCTGTTAGTTTTTAATTCATTAGCAGACAAGATGTTGTCATTGTGAACTCTTGAGTTGAGATGGTGACTGATGAGGAGTTGAAGTTGTTGATTTAAATCCTGGGGACGTTGTTTGGCCAAGTCATAAGCTTCAAGGAGCAGAGATCTGGAACAAATAAAAAAATGTGGATGTGGATTTTTTTATTTGTTAATGTCCAAATATTATAGATTTGTTTTTGTCGAAATGCTATTTATTTGTTAATGTCCAAATATTATTGATTTTTTCTTGTCAAAATGTTATTGATTTGTTCTTGTCAAAATGTTATTGATTTGTTCTTGTCAAAATGTTATTGATTTGTTCTTGTCAAAATGTTATTGATTTGTTCTAGTCAAAAGGTTATTGATTTGTTCTTGTCCACTTTTAATTAGATTATTGTGACACTTTATTTTGTTTGAGTTATTTAAACTGGTACAACATAGAAGATAATGTCCTCACATTTTTAATGAAATTTATGTATACATTAAATATAAAATATAATAATCTCTTTACATAAATCAACTGATAATGGTTTAACTTGGCAGAAGTGAAATTTGTAGATTTTACTTGTATGACTTTTAGGGAACAGACAATAAATCATATTTTGAAGAATATTTATAAAATAGTATTTCTTTGTTAACATATTTATTAATATTAGATAATAAATGAAGGAATGCGTATAAACTGTGAGAAGGAAATAGAAGAACAAGGTATGTGGAAGCTTGGAATATTAAGACAAGACTATAAAAGAATGTTTCGGCTAAGTATCAGCAGACAGAACAAATGAAGAAATAAGAAATAGAAAGTATTTAAAAAATTTCTACTTCTGGTTATTTCTTCATTTCTCCTGTCTGCTCAGGAAGGTTCTCAGGTGACATTTTCTTCTTTTATTGTCCTGCCTTTCCATTTCAAGCTTCCACATACCTTGTTCTGCTATTTCCTTATTAATATTGATAATCACTTGATATTTATTCACTTTACCTGATCTGAAATTGATTCTCTTTGCAGTCCTCCTCCCTGTATCCACAATGTGTTGGCTCAACGGGTTGCCTTGTTTGATCTTTTATTCTCATCACAGAGAAATTAAAGTCTTGTAAAAACATCCTTGTTCTCTGCAGTTGTAAATTTGTTTGTTCTACAAAACTGTTGGAGAAAATAAAATTTAAATATCATATTACTAAGGTAATTTTTATAAACACAATTGTTGAAAATGTAACAGAAAATATACAAATCTTATTGTGGAGATTGAGATAACTGACCTAGTAATGTCCTGGTGTAAATGCAGTGATTGTGACAACCGACCTGCTAATGTCCTGGTCTAACTGTGGTGATTTTAAAAACTGACCTGCTAATGTCCTGGTCTAAATGTGGAGACTGTGACAACAGCTTCAGCTGGCTCGATGCAGTACTCAGGGTTTCAATGATGTCACTTCCATTAAATTTTGAGACAAGTTCAGCCAGCAGGTGGCTTAAACTGTTTAGGAATTCAAATATTTCAAAAAGGTCATCATGCACAAACAATGTTAAGTTGGATTTCAAACATTCAATAATCCATGTAAGCACGTTTGTAAGTAGTGTCTACACCACTACCATTAAATTTTGTTTTTAACTCAACATCAATGTTTAACAAATACAACAAGAATGCCATTGGCAATATTGAATAGTTTTTAAAGTTAATTAAAATTAAAAAATTATCTTATTACAAGTTATTTGTTACTGTCTTAGTTATAACACACACAAAATTTGGTTTTAAGATTTCTATGAAATTAGAGAAACAATTAAATTTAAGTAAAACACTTTTTATAGAACTGTTTAAAAATAGTTGAAATTGCTTCACAAAAAATCTGCACCAACCTAACCAGTTGTGTTTGAGTGACCATGGTTCGTTTCACCAGCTCTCTGTTGATCATCTCCAACAAACATCTCTCTACAGCAGGACTCAAGCCTTTGGTGTCTTGGGTTTCACAGATGGTCGAACTCTCTCTCTTACCTTGACCTTTGCTTGCAACTCTGTCTGTGTGTCCGTGCCCATCTGATGAATTAGGTACCATCAGTGGGTTGTTGTCTTCAAGTGTTGGGTCCATTTTCAGAGCCGGGCCAACGGGTGGGTTGGAGATTGAAATTGATTGGTCAAGGCGGCATGGCAAATGAGACGTGTGATCATTTGACGTGGGAACATCTGAGATATTTAAAATGTAAGGAGGTTGATGCAGTTTTGTTATCAAGTCTCCATCAGATGATTGTGGAAGTTTTGAGCTGATCCTGCTGGCTGAACCTTTTTCTAACTGTCTCCTTGATATTCCATCAGAGTCTTCATTGAAATGTTCACCAGGATCATAGACAAAACCTTCACTTCGCCTCTTGTACATGTCCACATGAACAGTTTTATTCATCACCTCCTGTTGCCCAAGATTAGGTTCAGATTTTGCTTGGAACTGTGCGCGTAATTTTCCTGGGACGTGGTTTGTGATGATTTCGTCAAAATCTGTCTCAGGTTCGTCCAGGGGTAATCCTTGGTGGTCATGGTACGGAAAAGGTTTATCTTGTTGCTTATCTTCTTGTATTTCCTTAACATTGCATCCTAGACCATTGCTGTCAGCACCAACTCCAACTTCTGACAATTGTTTTTTGGTGTTAGGTATGCTGGGAACTTTACGCTTGCATTTTTTAAGTGTGTTACTCCAAACCCAGTTGAGTCCAAACTTTTTGGTTGCCTTTAGATCCTTGTCATGTTTCAACTGCTCAGCCTGATGTGGGTCAAGATTGCTGAACATAGTGTTGGATTTATTGGGACTTATTTTTGGAAAATGAGGTTCCTTCTGCATTAAAGTAGTCTCATGATTAGATTTTTGAGAATGTCCAGTAATTCTACTATGGAATACATCAATGTTTTCAATTTCTGAATCTCTTTCTAGAGTGCTACCACTTGTCTTAATTAACCTTTTTAGAGTTTGAAAATTTTCATTATCACAATGCAATCTGTGCTGATCACTCGCTTCCATCAGCCTGTCCACATTCCCACACTTATTGGAATTCTTCAGATTGTCTTGGCCAGATCCAGCTTCGTTCTGCTTTATTCTCTTGTGGAAAAGGGAGGTAACTATGTTGTGACGTCTGGTAGGGGAGAATTCTGGTGTAACATCCGGTAGAAAGGGCGTCTCTGGACCGTTGAGATCAAGGTCTGTTGTGGCAACTCTCACAACTGTGATGGGAATCTGTCAATTTGAGAAAATAAAAAGCAATTTTTTATTTATTCTGTTATTAAATAAAATTAACTACGCCCTTCTTTGTTTATGCTTAATTGTTTTATGAGATTTTTTTATTTACTTTTTTAATAACTTAAAGAGTAAAAAAAAAAATTTTTAAGCAAAGAAACAATATATTTTCATTCTATCAGCTGTTTGGAAATTGGATGCAGAAATTTAATCCACTGAGCAGTAATTTTTAAATCCTTTATATTAACTTTGCTTTTGTGTTTAGGGCAAAATATTTAAATGACTATTGAGCCACATCCCATCATCCTAACAAGCTGAAACTTGGCACATAGACTCGTTGCTGATGACAACACATTCTATCAAATGTTCAGCCCCAACCCCCAAAAAATTAGTTTTTCCTGTTTTTCAAGGGGAAGATAAAAGAAATATGATGACACTGATCTCACAAAATAAAATTTCACAATGGGTGACTGGGTGGTTAAGTAGAATAGTGAACAATTATGTTCCTAGTCTGGTTGGGTTTGAAGCCCAGTAACACGTAAATTACTTCTATGGGCCCCAAAGGCTTGTTATAGAAGATGACAAAAGCAAGAATATAATGCTGAAGCTTAATGTAATGGATAACTTGGTGCAACAAAAATGGTAAAATACGAAAATGATGTAACATACCAGAAAAAAAGTTAATGATGGATCAAGTAAATTATGTCTAAAAATGATTAAATTGAAGCTAATGAAATAAATATCTCAGAAAACTTAAAATAAAATGTTTTTATCATATTTAAATAGTCCAATTAAGTTTTCAAGACACACGCTGCAGTGACCATAGAGCTGACCGGTTTCTACACGGCGCAAGCTTACCTTGCTGGAGGGTTTACAGTTGACACCAATATCAGCTGAAGCCAGCGAATCCGAGTCAGCAAAACAGTCGGAAATAGAGTCATCTATCCGGAAGTCTCTTACGAAAGTCTCCAGGTCATCATGATTGGACGTGGTGTCCATAGAAAAGTCATTGTCATCGCTCTCAGACCCTCCATGATAGCGCTCCTTCAGTGACCGTATAGTCAAAATATCTGTGGAAAATATTTTTAAAAATGTATTTTAAACAATTAATTATTTGAAAGCTTCATAGATGTTAACAAATATTTAAAATAATAATTGTACAGTATATTATATAGTTGGCATAACAAACATCTTAGCAAAATAACTACATTATACACATGACTTACATAACATTCATTATAAACCTATTTATTTAAGATAAAGGCGCTTGTATGAACATTTATAATTGACATACAACTGCTTACATACCCAAGAAAGCCTCAGGATTCTCCATCCTCAAATATTCATTTTACGTCACTCATCAATTAACTGAAGCAAAAGCAAATATGAAAATTAACTGGTGACTTTGGAACTGGTAAGTGAGTGTGCTATTTGGAGGTGAGTGTGCTATTGGGAGGTGAGTGTGTTATTAGGAGGTGAGTGTGTTATTAGAAAGTGAGTGTGTTATTAGGAGGTGAGTGTGTTATTAGAAGGTGAGTGTGTTATTTGGAGGTGAGTGTGCTATTTGGAGGTGAGTGTGCTATTGGGAGGTGAGTGTGTTATTAGGAGGTGAGTGTGTTATTAGAAAGTGAGTGTGTTATTAGGAGGTGAGTGTGTTATTAGAAGGTGAGTGTGTTATTAGGAGGTGAGTGTGTTATTAGGAGGTGAGCGCGTTATTAGAGGGTGAATGTTGAATTGGTCAGTGCTTTTTTGACCTCGTCATTGAGAGTGAACTGTTTGGTCAGTGTGGACTATGTCATTTAGAGTGAACTGTTTGGTGATGTGAACTTGGTCATTTAGGGTGAACTCTTTGGTGAATGTGAACTTGGTCATTTAGAGTGAAATGTTTTGGTGAATGTGGACCAAGTGAACTATGACATTGAAAGTGAACTTTACTGGTTGGGGAGTGTGGCCTTAGAGAAAAAAACGTGCAATTTCTATTTGTGACTAAACGTCTATAGGCCTACTGACCATAAGTAAGTTAACGTAGGCCTTCCATAAAATGACAAAACCACCCGTTCTTGGCCCAGGACCCTCTTCCTTCGCCTGGATCCGCCTCTGGTTTTTTGTTAAGTTACCCTACACTGCACTTGTACACGTAGTAACAGTAACCAATACTCTCCTTTTTATTTTTTTATTTTTTTTTTAACCAGAGACGTCATTTGGGTAGGGCAGGTAGGAGGGGGCATATGCACCCTTGAATTTGCAGTTTTAATTTCAGTTGTTATGTACTGTGGCGCCTCCAGTAATAAACAACTCAACAAGCCGACAAAGTTTTGGTTTTTTGCTCCCCTCCCCCCCCCCTACTTTTTTTTTCAACAAACCTGAAATGACATACCTGAATTAAACCCTAAATTTGAAGAATGCAGCTCTGTTGCCAGTTTTTGTTGGGTTTTTTTTTTTTAAAGTAAGAGCATTTAAATAAACTCATTATCACTAAATAAATCACAGCCGTATCTCATTTTGTATTCGACGAACGTTAAGCTAATAAACTTAATTTAATGTAATATAACAAAGTAAGTTACTTACGCAAGGACAACATACATGCGTACGATATAATTATCGGCAGTGCACTAAAAATAAAACTTTAAACTATAGCCGTGTAGATTTAGCACGAAATCCAGACACCCGATAGACCACTACGTTACCTTACCTCCTCTAGTAAACCGTGGCCGGCCTCAACACACAGACACAGTGGGTTTCAACGCAGGGTTTAGAACACACCCGGTGACACTGGGGCCTGTTTGAACTCCAAAAAACACAAGCAGACTAGATTCTTTCTGGGCGACCGTCCGCTGTCTTTTCATTGCCAAACTTAAAATTCCAAACAGAGGCCGTCTAAATATAACCTTTTTTTACTTACTCCTAATGGGACAGCCACCACCCCCCCCCCCCCCCCCAAAAGGGATTGGAAGAGGGGGGGGGGGCGCAAAACACAATTCATGGACGACTCTGTAGGGGGGTTTCTGCGCTATTTCAAAGGCGACCTTCTCATGTGTAAACACCGTGTTAATTTAAAGAATATTATGAAAGGTCTTGTGTAATACAAAAACGGCAGTGGAAACATTAAATGGCACAATAGCTTATAAAAGCTGTTCCACTGATTCTCAAATCAGGCAGATGTTTTTAAAAAAAAAATATTTTCAATTGTCAGTTGTCTGTATTCTGCCCTAATTGAGTTTATGTCAATGGATTGTGGCCAGAGACCCGTCGTGGGTTTTTTAAAGCCCCCCCCCCATGCCACTTTTCAGGTTATGTGCCCTCTGCTTTCAAAGTAGATTGTTAATTTTGGCCCCCCACATCACAACTTTGGGCCCCTTAAAAATCCAAGTCAGAGGGTACACCAGACGATTCTGAGTGTGGGAATGGATAAAAACCTAACTAATTGGCTTATAAGGGTATTTCACCAAAGGTGCGTGCACCCTAGTACGACAAGACTGGTAAAAAAAAAAAAATATTTTAGTTGTGGCAGAGGCGTAGCTAGGGGAAGGCAGAAGGAGGGGAGGGGGGCAAATGTTTACCGGCATCAAACTAGTTGGGGCGCAAAAATAGGCTTTGGTGTTGTTGTTTTTTTTTTCTTTTTGTTGTTTGTAGATGAAAATAATGGGTCGTCAGAGTGGGAAAAAAGGGGGGTGTACAATCAATCTTGTCCCCGGGCGCCAAACACTCTAGCTATGCCTCTGGTTATGGATTGGATTAGAACCATAGTTTTATTCACTTTTTAAAACCACGTTTTAACTCAAATTTGACTGGGGTTTATTTGTTCTTTTTTTTTTAATTTAAGAGGGCGTTATTGTGTTTAGGGGTCCATAACGGGAGGTCGGGAGGGGGGGGGCGCGAGCTGCTCAAGGCTACACAACTGTTTGTGGTCAATCCTAGACAGACAGGACACCAGAACGTGATTATACTGTCATTATGGCATTATGGGTGTCACCTACGTCAGCCATTTGAAGACAGTTCCGAAATGCCCGTGATACGACCATCGTGATTGTTGGAACCACTGTGGTAAACTGATGTATTGAGTCGAACAGATCGATAACCAATCATTCCCAGTTGTGGACCAAAATGATTCGATCATTGAGCGGCTGGCTAGTCGATAACAGGCCATCGTCAAGGTTGTAAAGTAAGAACCCGGGGCAGGGGCTGTGGGTGTGGGGTGGAGCTGGGGTTAAAGTTCGGTTGGAACTGTTTTTACGTGATATCAGAGACCACGGTATGCGCCAAAAACTAACCCGAACAGTACTGAACCTCCCGCATCTTGAAAGCGTGCGCGCGTTGTCAACAGTGCACAGTTCCAGCCGCTGCGTGTTCCCTCCCAGGGGGCCGTCCATAAAGTACGTCACGCTCCAGAGGGGCGAGGGGGTGTAAGAAAGTGTGACAGTTTGTGCAAGGGGGGAGGGGGGGGCAGGCCAATTGTCAACAGTGCACAGTTCCAGCCGCTGCGTGTTCCCTCCCAGGGGGCCGTCCATAAAGTACGTCACGCTCCAGAGGGGCGAGGGGGTGTAAGAAAGTGTGACAGTTTGTGACAGGGGGGAGGGGGGGTCAGGCCATGTGTGACGTCACACATTTATTTTTTAAAATTTAATTACTAATTTATTTTTTATTTTTTAAGTAGAATTTAATTGCTTTAAAAATAATTTTCAAAAATTTTGTGAAACATTCGAATTAGTTTTAAGTCAAAATAGCAGGAAATGCGTATCTCCTGATTGTGTTGTTCACGATTCCTCTCGCTAGCAGCGCCAGTATGCTGTTGCAAAACCTTGTTTTATGTATAGCCTTGCTTGCGTCATGCCTGAAGTATTATTATTTCTGTGTTGTCCGCTGCATAATTATGTCACTATCCTTTTTATTATTTAATGACTAGGTGAGGTCAAGTTTCGCTAATCTACTTCTAATCCTGTGTAGAAAGATTGCATAATGGGAAGATTATCTAAAACTTAACCCTCACCTATTGTAAATGAAAAAGCAGCAGAAAAATGATGTGTATTATATAATTATCTAGTCTGATTTTTGAAATTTTTATTTTCAAATTCAATCTAGATTGAGTTACTAGTTCAATGAATTTCTGTGACAACTGTTGACAATTAACTATTCTACTATTAAAGTCATTTTAAAAATGTGATAGTTCTTTTAATTGTAAATTTTATATATTAATACTGTTTAATAGTTAAGTGTGTTTTAGATTAAATTTTAATTAGGTGTTTAACTTTTTTTTTAAAAATTTGTTCGAAAGTGTGACGTACTTTAGGGGGGGGGGGTCCGAGATTTGTGAAAGTTTGTGACTGGGGGGGGGGGGGGAGTTTAAAATGGTCAAAGATAGCGTGACGTACTTTATGGACGGGCCCCCAGTCGGAAAATGAACGTTATGTTGGGCAGGTGGAAATAGGTCCCTAGGAAATAAGGCGGCACCAGGCGGCACGGTTATGTTGCTGTTGTCTTTTGTTACTCAAATTCGCCGTATGACCTGTGTGTGATTAACTGCCCGAGCTGTACGTCCGAGTTAGCTAAAGACAGAGGANTAAGTGTGTTTTAGATTAAATTTTAATTAGGTGTTTAACTTTTTTTTTAAAAATTTGTTCGAAAGTGTGACGTACTTTAGGGGGGGGGGTCCGAGATTTGTGAAAGTTTGTGACTGGGGGGAGGGGGGGAGTTTAAAATGGTCAAAAATAGCGTGACGTACTTTATGGACGGGCCCCCAGTCGGAAAATGAACGTTATGTTGGGCAGGTGGAAATAGGTCCCTAGGAAATAAGGCGGCACCAGGCGGCACGGTTATGTTGCTGTTGTCTTTTGTTACTCAAATTCGCCGTATGACCTGTGTGTGATTAACTGCCCGAGCTGTACGTCCGAGTTAGCTAAAGACAGAGGACCCGGCTAAGTTAAGTAACTCTTCGGTCAGTGGGGGTCAAATGGCGTAGGAGTGGGGGGAGGGGGAGTTAGCCCAGCGTGGTACTTTGTTTTTGGTAGGAGGAATGGTGGGCAGCATTTTCAGTCCACTTCAGATACTTTAAATAACCTAGTTGTTTGTGCATATATGCATTGTAATTTTCTGGCATTAGGGGGCGCCAAACTCAGTGACCACCCCTCTTGTCAAAACTCTAGCTACTCCACTAGTTGTGTTGCACCCTTTGCAACATATTGCAAAGCTGGCCGGTAAACTTACGATGTGTGTAAAAAAAAATATCTGCTTAGTCTTTCATGACTTTTTTTTTTTACTTAAGTTCAGACAAGATATACACCTAGCCCTAACCAGATATTAGCCTATACCCTAACTCAAGCCTATACCCTAACTCAGGCCTATACCCTAACTCAAGCCTATACCCTAACTCAAGCCTATCCCCTAACTCAAGCCTATACCCTAACTCAAGCCTATACCCTAACTCAGGCCTATACCCTAACTCAGGCCTATCCCCTAACTCAAATATACCCTAACTCAAGCCTATACCCTAAGGCCTATACCCTAACTCAAGCCTATACTCTAACTCAAGCCTATACCCTAACTCAGGCCTATACCCTAACTCAAGCCTATACCCTAACTCAAGCCTATACCCTAACTCAAGCCTATACCCTAACTCAAGCCTATACCCTAACTCAAGCCTATAACCTAACTCAAGCCTATAACCTAACTCAAGCCTATACCCTAACTCAAGCCTATGCCCTAACTCAAGCCTATAACCTAACTCAAGCCTATAACCTAACTCAAGGTTTGATGTATGGATTACTATGGATCAAGGTAAGTATTCTGCCAAGAAAGACTCTTTTTATCCGTCCGTCGCAAGGGTACATCATATGCAGTAGATACTGTTTGTCACCAGTACCCAGGAGTTCCTGGCGTTTTCATTGTTATACAACAACGGAATTCAGAGTTCGCCTTCTGCATTGATGAGTCCAATTTAGGTGAGGATTGAACTCCAGACCCCCACCAGCTTTTTGGATTGACTCATTTTAAACCAATCGGACATCAAACACGTTTTTCATAACCTATCCTTAACCGCAGATACGAGAGATACTTTAGCGTCTGTCAATTTAGATCAAATGTTGAGATCAAACTTCGGCATAGGACGGCACTGATTGGCCGTGGTCCGTTGCGGGAGGAACTAACACAAGTATAATGCAGCCTAGGGCTATACAGTAGGAGCGTGAAGCTTCATTGTAGACCAAATGGAAAGACATCAAAAGTAGGAGCTCAGCCGGGTGCATCTTCTTTTTTTTTTTTTTTTTTTTTTTTT